TTCCCCCAGCTGTGAGCCTTCCAACCTTCTAAGTATTCCTTTATATGTGGTTCAGAGTTCTGGGACCAGCCCCTGAGCCTGCTTGGTCATTTATTCTGTGTTGTTGTTGGCGGAGCTCTCTGCTACACGTCCACCCGATCCTCCATCTTGTTTGTTCTCCGGGCTCAGTTTTCTTATCTGCAAAAATGTTACCTCTTAAAATGCTTATAAAATAATGTAGACAAAGTGCTTAATATCAGTCCCATTGTCTAAAAATCATCAGTACAAGTTAGTTGCCATATCATTATCATCATCCATCTTTTTAATGTCACGAAGTAAACGTTAGATACTATTAGTTTCCGGATAAAAAGCATCCTCCTGAATTGATACGAATCCCGTGGAAGCTGTTTTTTGCTTTAGCATCATACATATAGAAAGACCATGTTCCAAAGTGAGATCTCTATCTAGTTGAATAGTAGAGATGAAAATTGTTTGCAAACTCTACTTTGAAGAGAATATTGTGTTCAGCCCTTTCCCTTTTGTGTGGGACAGTTGATAATTTGTGGCTGAATATGTATTTTCTGTTGACTTCAGTATACTCTGCATTCCTCTCACATGATTACTAAGTTGAAAGTTTTGGTGGTTGTGTTTTCTATTTGGGGGCATGAGAATTATAAATTCAGGTGATTGCTTTAATTTAAAGGGCTCTGGTGGCAAACTAAAGAAGTTCTAGTGCACAGTGGTTAAGGCGCTGGACTGCTAACCAGAGGTCAGTGGTTCAAACCCACTCGTTGTTCTGCAGAGAGGAAGATGTGGCAATCTGCGTTCATGAAGGTTTACAGCTTTGGAAATCCTATGTGGCAGTTTTATTCTGTCCTACAAGGCTCTGTGAGTCCAAATTGATGTGACTGTGGCAGGTTTGGTTTAGCTGGGGTACAATAAGGAACCCTGGTGATATAGTAGTTAAAACACTTGGCTGCTAACTGAAAGCTGGAAGTTCAAATTCACCAGCTGCTCTGAGGAAGAAAGACGTGGCATGGCAGGCTTCTTCCATTGAGAGTTACAGCTTTGGAAACCCTATGGAGCAGTTTTACACTGTACTACTGGGTTGCCATGAGTTGAAATGGACTCAAAAGCAGTTGGTTTACATCTGGGGTTTACTGGCACAGTGGTTAAGTGATCAACTGCTAACTGAAAGGTCAGCAGTTGAAGCCACCATCCACTCCATGGGAGAAAGCTGAGGCAGTCTGCTTCCATTAGGATTTACAGCCTTGGAAACCCTATGGGGCAGTTCTACTCTGTCTAATACAGTCCCTGTGAGACAGAATCAACGAGACAGCAACAGGTTTGGTTTTACTTTACATTTTCTTAGCTTTTAACACTTCTTCTTCCCCTTTGTTTTTCTCTTTTCCTCTCCTTCTGCATTACCAGGACCAAGTACCACCTGCCAGGAAGATTCCTGTGCCAACCAGGGCGTCTGCATGCAGCAATGGGAAGGCTTCACTTGTGACTGTTCCATGACATCGTATTCGGGGAACCAGTGTAATGACCGTGAGTACAAACTTTCCATCCTTGGGACTGAGTCAAGAAGCTCAGCGGTTTGGAGAAAACTTAGGAGACAGTATGTAAGGGAGATGGTGGCAATGAAAGATTCATAAGCAATTTTCTCTTCCAGAAACATGGGAATAAAGAACCAGTGTTCTTATAGGAGAGCAAAGGGAGAGTTCTTGTTCGACATTACTAGTTATTTTCTCATCCTATTTACCCTCCATTTTTTTTTTTTTCTCTTAACATTAAAATACTTGTGACTGAGACAGGAGAAAAAACAAAATGAAAAAAGCATCTCAGGCAAGATTTTTGCTGTAAGGGGTTCGGTTCTCCATTAATTAAGTCATCTGGATAATAGTTTTGAGACTCTTTCATTTTTATTGGCTAGAATTTAGAGGATGTTTATGGAAAGAGTTATTTTCACAAAGTAACTTCAGGGAATTTCTTAGTGCTTCCAAATGACAAAGACATTGGAGCCATGCGTCACCTAATGCCCACGATACAGTGAAGTAAGACATGTGATTTGAATATTGTGCAAGCATCATATTACACACAGCCAATCTCTGGGTTGCAAACAAATTCTGGTCCTAAGTCTGTTTCTAAGTCTACTTTGTACATAAATTGGAACAGTTAAGAACAGTTCATCTCTAATGCCAATTAGTCAAATGCTTTCTTACTATGTAGTATAGAATGTACCTTTCTGTGCAGAAACAGAACCTTAAGGAAATACATCAAGATACTTTAAAGCATTTTTAAAATGACATCATAATAATAACGTTTTGGTGTGTGCCTTTTTATTATTACAAATCATTGTCTGTTTCTCACATTTTTCATATATTTGTTAGTTGGGACCATGGATATACATGTGGTTGGATGTTGTCCCAGACATTATGCCATTCAGTTCATGACTGTATAGGTTAGGTTATGTTTTTCCTCCAATTAGATGCATTTAAAGCATTTTCAGAACTACTTCAAGTATAAGACAATGACCTCCGCTGGTTAAATATAGTACTTGTCTATTTAACACATATCTAAATGATTATTCTGTGCCTATGTACGCTTCTCTTTTGTGAGTCCATCTGTGTATATTGCTGCTATTAGAAGAGAGCTTGTGGCCATTACATTTTACGGCACATCAGTTGATTTAGCTCCAAGAAGAGAATGATTTTGTGAAGGTGACTCTTGTTCTGATGGTGACAAGATTTCAATGCTGTGGGTATTTGTAAAAAAGAGTTCTGTGTTACCTTTGTCTCATGTCCACTTTTAAAGAACAGCAAATACCTACTGCAAAGAGATTTATTGAAAAGCCCTGCCTTGGTAGATTCTGCTTACCTTCTCATTTTCTAATGTCGCCTTTGTGGTAGGAGTTTGCTTTACAATCCAACATAATCATGAATTAGCCTGATATTTTTCTAAAAATTCATGTATTCACCTGATTTCATAATAAGTGCATGTTGTAGTTTGTCCACATGGGAAAGGCTCAAATTACAATGTTGTCACCACCAGGTCTGTTTGGTGTTCTTTAACTATTTATTGATAGCTCCATGGTTCTTATGCCTATATTTGTCTCTTATAGTTTTCTTCTCAATTATTAGTTGTCTTTTAATATACACTAAGGAGATACTAGTGAGAAATTAGGCTGCGGAGAGAAAATTCATTGATACCTGTTGATCTCAAATTGCTCTCACCGATTATTTTTGGCATTATGAAAAGCTCTCGTTCCATATTCATGATTTGGGACTCTGAGTCCATTCTGATGAAGGAAGTTGCAGGTACGCATTTAGAGTAGCTAGGGAGTTGTATAACATGGCCTTTCTTTTACCCCAATTGGTCTGTATAGGGTTTCCTGCAACAATGGTGGTATGCACTTCTTTATTCTCATAAATGTATCCCGTATCACATATTCATGCACTCTTTATCAGGATGACTGTCTGCACACACAAGAGACACCAAGGTAAGTTACTCCAACTGTGGTGAATAAGCATAGTCTTCGGAAGGTATGTATGGACTTTTCTGTCATTCAGGGCCCACCATTGTTTTATGGTAAAATTCACCTCAGGTTTTCTCCAGTTTTCTATGATTGCTTCTAGTTTTGTCATGAGCTGATTGTGTCTCAGTCCAGAATGAGAACTATAACATTAACTGACTTGGTCAGTTTGTTGATATATAATGGAGGACTAGAACTAGAATTGGAAAAAGTCATATTTCTTTGGTGGCAGCAGCTTCTCGTACGTCAAAATTTTTCTAAGATCTTCTGGTTTAGGGCAATATATTTTGCATTTTATTCTGTAAACAGTGCAGTTGTATCTTTTGATTGTAGAAGAGCTTCTAGAGCCAAATGACTAAAATAATTGGTTTGGTTAGTCCTTTCCTAGAGCATGAATTAGGTTTTCTGTAAGAGATGCATATTTGGGCATAAGAAAAGAGTATTTTTATTACACCTCATATAGAGGGGTATACAGAATGTGACTGTAAGTTCAGGAATATGTTCATGGAAAATGTCATTATTTTTTAATTTAATTTTTCCATGGACATTTTGAAGCCCCCTCATATATAAAAATAGTAAGTCCTTTAAAATGGTTACAATGACAATCCCAGTATCTAATGAACTCCATTCAAAGTGTTTGAGGAAAAGCTCTTTTGAAATTGGCAACAGATCTAGTTTCTTTTTTTTCCATTTAGAAAATTATCTCACTACTTTACATTGTAGACTATTATTTTCTATATTAGCCTTGATCCTTACAGTTGTAATTTACTATTGGATGTTTCTATGCTTACTTTGGGTAGCTTAGCTTGCATTACAAGTTGGGAGGTAACCCTTATGTCACAACAAGGCCCATTGGCAGAAAAGAAGGGGGAAATGAACTACTGGGAAAGAGAGGAGGAAGAAAAGGGAATATAGAAAAAGCAGGAATAGAATTTTACATGAAAGACCAGAGGTGCCATTAGTAATTGCCTTCGTGGCAGGCATGTCTTTGACTGAAATAACAGAAATGGGGCAATGTCTTCAAAGTGGAAACTACCACCATAAAGGACATCTGTTTTTAACTCAGTTCTTGGGGAATGAGTGTTTTATAGAATGTTTCATATTTCTAACATACCATATTATTTAAAATGCTGTCAGATAACTGTGTGAATTTGTTAAAAATGCAGTCTAATTACAAAAGGGTTATGTTTTGGTACAGAGGGAACCCTGTTTTAGATATTCCATTTTCCATAGGTGTTCCTTGGGACATCAAATTGATCTTAAATGAAACTAAAAATCTCTGAACTTTTTTACTGGAAATCCTGAAATACAGAGTTGTTGAATAGGGAGCTGGCTAGGTTTTGATATTTTTCAAAATAAAATGCTCAGTTCATAAGGTATGTATGGACTTTTCTGTCATACAGTTTCTGTCAGAAGTTCATTCTATCTGGGCATGATTTACAAGTTTCTGCATTTTAAAGGTCTTCAACACTTCTTTTACCATTGATTCAGTTCCTTGTGACATTTTTTTCTTGTCTGTTTACTGTATTTGTATTTGTTGGAACGATTAAGGTGCCATCATACAAATATAACCCTCTTGACCAATCTCAGTTAGTATGAGTAGGCTGTATTTCTACCAAGAAAGATCGGCTTGTTCTTCTGGTAGGCCACAGTACTTTTAATATTCTTCTCCAACTCCATAACTCAAATGCATCAATTCTTCTACAGTTTTCCTGATTCATTATCCAACTTTCATGTGCATACGAGGCTACTGAAAATACCATGGGTTTGGTCAAGTGCACCATAGTCCTTAAACTGACATCTTTGCTCTTGAATACTTTAAAGAGATGCTGTGCTGCAGATTCACCTAATGTAAAACATCTTGATTTCTTAACTGCTGCTTCCATGAATATTAATTGTGGATCCAAGCAAAATGAAATCTTTGACAACTTCAATGTTTTCCCCACTTACCGTGGTGCTATATACTAGTCCAATTGTGATGGTTTTTGTTTTCTTTATATTGAAGTGCAATCCATAGTGAAGGTGTTACAACACTTTTAGATTTGTGGTCAAAGAAACCGAGGCCACTCGGAGTGGTCAAGCAGAGTTTCAGATTTTATTAAGCCGGCTGACTCAGAGGAGCTAATTTCTCCAGATTCTGAGCCCCAGATGGAGGCCAACACGGGCCTATATGGGGTCAGAGTCAGGGAGGATCCAAGCTGCATACCTGTTTGAAAGCAGGGGTTGGTCCCATTTGGTGACCTGATTAGCATTTTTGCTTGCCTCCTTGGTGGGAGAGGGCAGTGAAAGATTTTTACCTTTTCTTGTTGAAAGACATTTTAAGTCCTCTTCACTTCTAGGAAGCAAGGTCGTATCATATACATATTGCAGCTTGCTAACGAGCATCCTCCAATCCTGGTGCCAAATTTGTCTTCATAGAATCCAAGTTCTTAGATTATGTGCTCAGCATACAGATTGAATTAGTATGGTGAAAGAATACAACCTTGGCACACAAGTTTCCTGATTTTAATGTAGGATCCAACAAAATCTGCAAAAAGACAATGACATTCTCCAGAGATGATCTCTAAGACTTCTCAGAAGTTTGAAGCAAAGAGGACTGACTTCTCAGGGAATCACAATCCCCTGAGCACCAGTGTAATTGCACATATTGGTTTTTTTCTTTTCTTTTCTTTTTTTAGCAAGAGAGGGGTTTTCTTTATTCGATATTGTAAAATCAGGGATCCAGCCCATGTAGACAAGGACAGACACCCAGCATTGCCAATTGACAAAGAGTTTGATTAACTTAGCTGTGACAAAGCCCCTCCTCCATTTTCCCTTTACTGGGTACTTTGGAGTTTACAATCTTTCCCAAATGGGGCCTACTAGTCAGTATAGGGAGCATTCTAATTTAAAGTTAGTTTCACCCCCTTCCCATGAACTTCCCATACTTCCTTGATGGGTGTATTCTTATTTTAAAAGTGTCTAGTAAGTCAAACTAGTCTCTTCCTCTTCTCAGAGTTCCCTTTGGTCATGCCAA